CCAAGTCGATTCGTCCCACAAGTTAATTCGTCCCAAAGTCGATTCGTCCCACAAGTTGATCGTCCCAAAGAGATTCGTCCCACAAGTTGATTCGTCCCAAAGTCGATTCGTCCCACAAGTCGATTCGTCAGATTTAAGGTTAGCCCACTACTAACTCGCCAAATAAGCACAAACACATCCAAACAACGAACTGTTCACGTACACGTCATGCACTGGCATGCGTAATTGTTCGTTGCGCCATTTTGTTTTGCCAACGTTATATACAAATACACCTTACATACAACGCTGAGTTATTAGTTAATAAATACAAATACACCGTACAAGTTATTAGTCAATAAATACAAATACACCTTACGTGCAACGTAGAGATATTAGTTAATAAATACAAATACACCGGACATTCAACGTACAAGTTATTAGTTAATAAATACAAATACACCGTTCACGCAACGTAGAGTTATTAGTTAATAAATACAAATACACCGGACATTCAACGTACAAGTTATTAGTTAATAAATACAAATACACCGTTCACGCAACGTAGAGTTATTAGTTAATAAATACAAATACACCGGACATTCAACGTACAAGTTATTAGTTAATAAATACAAATACACCGTTCACGCAACGTGGAGTTATTAGTTAGCGTGTCAGTAGCAGTTGGCATAGAAATTGACCCTGTTCAAGATCGTAATGCTGACTAAAAATGTAAAAAATGGACGAATGTGAATTGGGACGAATGTGAAATGGGGCGAATGTGAATTGGGACGAATCGACTCGTGGGACGAATGTGAATTGTGACGAATCGACTTGTGGGACGAATGTGTTGGGACAAAAGTGAATTGGGACGAATTGACTATGAATCAACGTGAACATCTCTCCCCAGTCTGAGTCCCACGGGCAGTGCACAAAAGAACTCACAGTGTATGGACAATGTGTCGCCGTCTTCAGCAGCAAAATCGCACGTCTTTGGGATGTGCGTTCTTTCTATTGTTACGCCGTCCAATTCGAAAACGTTGCTAGCGCCATTCACA